ACGAACACAAGCCATGGTAAAACAAAGTGACAACTGATGAAAGCACAGCTCCCGAAAACTTTTGAAAATGCCTAGTAAATTCATGGACGTGACACGACAGGGGCAAGTGAAGCACAGTGCGTGGCGCAAAGCTGTTGCACATGAGCGGGGAGTCTTTGTAACAACGGAGTGGCTAATACAAAACGGTAATTATACATGACCATGACGACATGGTATGATTAATTAGTACTAAAACTGCTTGATGTATCGTATTCACCATTACCACGGCACATGTATCATACCCCTAGCGCGTAAAAGGGATAAAACTAAAAGTTCGAGCTTAGGAGCAATGGATTTTAAACACAATGACTGTGCAACCGTGCTGTGCTTACTGGGCAAAAACGGACGCACGCCTAAACGTGCCCGGCGCTAAGTTGGTTGGGTGGAGGTGATGACAACAGGGGATGGGGATGTGAGGGGATAGTAAATTCATAGACGTGACAAGACTGGGAAAGTGGACCACAGACCGCGGCGGGTAGCTGTACCACTGCACAGAGCATCTCTTCTGGAACCAAACCTAATTAGGAACTCTTTTACATTAGATTGCAGACGTGGCGTGGTTAGTATGTGGTTAACTGAATGATTAAAATGTTCAATATAGACACGCATGTAACTGCACTACTCCGTTCATCATACTTTGACGCGTGGCCAAAAAATGGAGTTCACAGAAATTGTTAAACGTCTTTCATCATAACGATCAGCAGAACCAGCAAGCATGATTAGTGAAACGTAATCGATAACACTAAAACACTATAGAGTGTTTTCACTGGTCAGGGATGCTCCACGAAAGCATTTTTGCCTCCGTGTGCTCTCTTCTGGCCACAAGACGACCACGACGTGCATGCACGGGTGGTGCAGTTCTGCAGGCGCGTGCAGCATCTGTACTGAAAAGTCCAACCTTGTGCGTACATGTCAGTAGAGTGTAAGAGCCCTAGCTGCTTTTGCATGTGGGTGGCCAGAGCTGCTTCAATACAAGCCGAAAATAAATCGAATACAGCCCCTATACACCGACAGCGGGAATCTCAATGATGGCACGACGGCAGGGATTCCGGCCTGCCTGTAGCGCGGCCACCATTGGCATTTTTCGCTCACTAGGTCATATGAACTACGAAGGCCCCCAAAATAACTCTCTCAGCTCTCGGTACTGGCTTTCCCATGCCCAACCCCCCA